ATAAAAAGTATTATCTTCAACAGAAATGAAATCCTAAGAAAGGATCCAAAAGGGTGTATTATTGTTATATCTGATGACCTAAACATTCATTCAACAAATAAACCTCAGTTCAGTGGTCAATATTATAGAATGAATTAATACTATTCATATGATCCATTATCATTATGGAAAAAAAAGTTACTGATTTTCATGCAAATGATTTAGCAGCTAAACCAGTAGAAATTTGATTTATTTCTTAAAAGATTTTTATTTACTTCTTTTTAGGGAGAGGGGAAGGGAGAAATAAAGAGAGGGAGAGAAACATTAGTGTGTGGTTACCTCTCATGTGCTTCCACAACCTGGCCCACAACCCAGGCATGTGCCCTGACTGGGAATCAAACCAGTGACCTTTTGGTTCTCAGGCCGGCACTCAATCCACTGAACCACACCAGCCAGGGCAAGTAGAAATTTTAATCAAGACCAGTTTATCAACTCTTTAGGCTACGGGACCTGAAGTCAATTCTGTCTTTAGCACAAGTATCAGATAGTCATTCCTCTCAAAATTGTTTCCTGCTGATCAATAATTTTGTCTTCAGAAAGTCCTTTTGGTTTTATTTGTTGATTTGTATTTTTGATTTTTGAGTATCTTGTGACAAAGTAAAAATAAATTTAGATCCCTTCATACGAATCATCCTATTAAAAATAAGCATATTTTATAATAACACATATTTCTGAATTTACATTCCTCAAAACAAAAACTTCTGTATCCTCTATGGCTGTGCTTTATTTCACAATTCTGAATAATTTTGAATTATATTGTCACTGGATAGAATATTCACTGCTATTTTATTTTTATATCTGGGCATTTCAAAATGCCTATCATACTCCTTATTTGCTAACATTGTTAACTGGAAAAATATAAATTTTAATAATGCTCCTAAGTGAAGGTTTTATGATTCTAAAATACAACTCTTCTGAAAATAGATAGTCACCTAATATACAAGATGTGACTATGGGGTAATTGGCCTGATATTACTGTTTCTGTTCAGTAAAGCACCAGAATTTACATAAGAAATAAAGGTCATCCCTCTGAGCAGTCACCTTGAGAGACCCCAGACAGACTTCAAAGAACAATGTTACAACCTCTCTTTGGGGCTTGTCTGTAGTCTGTTCCTTTTTTTTTTTTGAAACAAATGTCTCTAAAGGTGTCCACACTATGTTCTTTAAAGTTAGCTAAGAGTGTCAATAGCTAAGAGTAATCTAGAATGGGAGAAGAGTCCCTGGGTGCACCAAGCAGAAAAAGTGGGTGTGACCAAAGCCCTGGGGGTAATGCAATGTGAAACTCTGTACTGGGATGATATTTAAAATATTCGCTAGGTATGGCAGGGCACCAGTTAATCAGAACAGATGTCACTTGGAGGACTCTGGCCAAGAAACAAGCATTAACCCTTTAGTAGGTAAATTGTAAGGCATTCTACAGGGTCCTACAGACAGGAAACCATAGTAGTGGGAAAACGTGAGCACTTGGAGATTTCTGAGTTGTGGCATTTACCAACCAATAAAGGACATTTGGGGTATTTTAATGTCCACTGAACATTGGTCCTTCCAAAAAGTAAGGAGGCCACTGCAGTTTTGGTGCGGCCTAGGCATTGACTGTGAAGACACTGCCCAAGAGTTGTTCGAAGGTGCTAAGGGCAACGCCTGCAGTACTGGAATAAATGTGTGGGATCTGAAAATACCGATTGGGAAGGATATTGCTTATGCAAATATTTAGGTTCTCTAAACTCATTAAGCACAGGCACTATGACTTTTTCACTTTTTCTCCCTAGGACCTAGTATAATGCTTGGTGTACAGTAGTTGCTTAATAAATATTTGTTGAATAAATAACATGCTTGTTAAAGAAAAATAACTTCAAAGTTCATATTTAGAGATTTAAAATTTTTTGTTTTGAGATCCATAATTTATCTTCAGTTTACTGGAGATAATTCTAAAATTCTCTCTGAAGAGAGAATTCCACCAATACATTATATTCCTGACTCAAAATCCTTTGGATAGCAGCACATTTCTCTCTGGAAAGCAGTCCTTTTCAATGCTCTTTTGATTATTACATGACTTAAAAAGCTACCTTAAAAAGGTAGATAGGAATATGTCTTCAACTCTTTGAAGTTCCTCTTATTTCTAGCCAACCTCTCTTTGGGGCTTGAGAGGTTTCTAGCCAAAAAGAATCTTCCTTCAGCAGAGAGTATTTGAGGCTTTCTGGAGGCGAGGGCTACTACACTGTGGCTGCTGGCCAGCATTTCTCAGGCTATAGGTGTCTAGTGCTATGCACTTAACACATCAGTTACTGGTCCTAACAACCCCTTTGATAGTTGAGGAAACCAAGTCCCAGAGGAGCTAAGCATCTTCCCTGTCTTTATACAGCTAGTAAGAGGTGAAGATACATTTTGCATCCAGGAAACTTGATTCTAGATCTGAGCACCACCAACACAGGATACTCGGAAGCAGAAGCTCATTTATCTTTAGTCAATCAACAAGGCAGGACCTGAAAGATTTCCCATACCTAAAATGTACCTTAGAGCTCCCATTACACTGACTCTCAAAAACTAGGTACTGGGAGGGAGACTTTCTTACACAATCATCTTGTAAGTGTGTACTGAGAACATGTGATATTCAGGCACTGTTCTAGGTTCTGAGAGGGCAGGTAGGGACCCACACTATGGGTCCCTACTATGATTGGTAAATGTAACACCTAGAAACTTACTCAAATCTTCTAGGGTTCTTTATTCACTACCCCGAATGGGAAATAAACTGAATCCCTGTCTTCAGTTTGAATTCTGGATCCTAAGCAATTATCGTCCTTGATAATCTGCAAAATAGTCTTCTCTCTAGAAAGGAGAGCTACTGTTTTCTCCATTCTGGATTCTCCTGGGGGAGTATTTGATCTCATTTGGCATTCTGTCCTTACAAGGATAGCAACAGAGGGAGGAGGAGGCAGTGAGGGGAAGGAGTGAAGCATACAGACTGTTTGGACCACAGGTATCGTATAAACATTGTGTTACTATAAGCAGCCTCTTTTTGGTACTTCGGGATTATCTGGGCTAATGCTGGTGTTCAGTGCCGAGTGCTGTTAGAGCTGATAATTTCATACTTGAATTTCATGTTTTAGGAGGTATTTCAAGTTATGCAGTGGTCTTATGTATTATCATAATTAGAACCAATAGAAATATTCATTGAACTTTGCACCTTGAATAATTAAGTTGTACTTTAAATGAAGGTTAATAAACTACCGAAGATACCAAAGAACTAAATCTAGAATAGTAAACTGTACTAAATGTCCCAAGCAAGCTGAGAGGTTTTTAAAAACCATTAATTTTTTCACTATAAATGATCTAATATGTGCTGAGAGCTTGTCTGCTCCGAGTAGAGTTAGTGATTCCATCCTGCCCCTGCCCGAGGAAAATTTCCAGGTAAAAAAAGGGTTTCTAAGAAGCACAGAGTAAAGAGTTCTTAACATTTCCCCTTAAACCCCAAATTCCCAATTTTAAAGTCATCCTAATGTTCTCAGGTTTTTAACTTTTTCCTTATTTTATGATGCATGGCTTTGAATCTCTTTTTTGAAACAGAGATTCAAAAAAGAGTATAACAATTTTTTAAAGTAGCAAACAAACAATATATATGTAGATAAGTCAATAATTGGTAGGATCCATTTTTTTTTACCTAAAGATTTGATCCTTGTGAAACTACAAGTTCCTTTGGGAGGAATCATGTTTTAAGCTGTGTTTAGTCATTTTTGCTTTAGTGTAAATAAGTACTTGAATCTTTCTAAAGAACAAATTGTGCCAAAAGATAAAAAGTGAGAGTTCTTACCTTCTTCTAAGAGGCAAATGTATCAGAACTCTCCCGTGCTTTTGATTTTGGCACAAAAAATAGGAATGCTTTAACTTTAAAGCTGAATACCAAAACTCTTTCTCAAAAGTAAATTGCTGAGGTGTATTTATCTTCTACACTGTGAAAGAGAAATTGTATTTAAGTTTCAAATTTTAAAAGAGCTTCTTCTCATACTCCTTTCTTATACTCCAAGGCAAATTATCAAGTTAACCATCTTGTAGTCATATACCCACAAGAAGAAAATGTTAAAGGGTTTTGTCAAAGGGATTGCAGAAAGCTAGTCCCTTCATTTCATAAAGTGACTCTGATTTTTCTGGTCCTCTAAACTTTTTCCTTTCTTTGTTTAAGTCAAATCATCAGCTCCATAATACATGATGCTCACACCTTGCCATTTCAGGCTCAAGAATAACACGGAGCACGCAGAAGGGACATTACAACACACAGTTCTGCTCTGCAGAAACTATGGCATCATAGCCTGAAAAACAGCTCTGGGTCATGAAATGCAGTGCCCCGAGCCCCCAGGTCCCAGAACGATGTCTGCTGCCCCACACCCTCACTCCACGCTTGAGCCCTTGCACTCTGTGTGGTTTTCTCCTTGGGGATCATTATTGGGTTTCATAATGATTAGTTTGTGTATGAAAAAGGAAAGCTCGAGACTATAATTTCATACATATTTTTAAAAAACACATAAAGGAAATTCAGCAGCGAGACAAGTAATCTCCTGGGGCCTGTTGTGACCAAGAGAATACCTGTGAGAAGGACAAGCTGATAAGGACTGTCCCAGCACATAAAGGGACAAACCAGGAGGAGGAAGCTTTGTGCCCCTCTAGCTTTGAGACCTCTGCTCTCCTGGTATCCCCTTCAGACACAGAGAAGCAGATGGCAGCTGTTAAACCGAATTACTATAAGACTATCCAAGTCAGAAATGCAGTGACCACTAGCAGGAAAATATTTTTTTTAATATTGAAGACACATATGTAAGGAGATACTTTTCAATAAAGTCCTAAGTGAAGGGCAGATTGAGGCAAAGTGTGGCTGAAAGCAAAGCCCAGAGGTAAAAAGTGGATTGAGCAAAAAGTCCCCGAAGGAGGAGTTAGAACCACGTGGAGAGGTACGGAGCCAGGGCCCAGACCTGCTGAATGGCTCTTCAGCTTCAAACCGCATGGGTTCCCAGGTCATCTCGCTGCAGAGTCTGGAGAAGAGAATAACCTGGCTGTAAATCCTGGGTTGGCATCTCAATCTCTGAGACTTTGAGCCAACTACTTCATAGTTTTGTGCCTCACTTTCCTCATCTGTGAAGAAGAATAACAATTACGACAATCAGTCCAAGAAAACACCTATGACAGAGCTCAGCACACAGCAACAGCTGAATGTTAGATTTTATTATATTCTCATCAACAGCCGTATGCACATATTATTTCCCCTTTTTAAAAAGTATTGAAAACATGTACTTAACATTTAATAAATAGGAAAGCTACCTTCCTTCACTTACTCCATTCCATTGGTGGAATAAATTCAGGAGGTTTCTATAGATTTTTACTTGTACTCAGCTTGTATTGCTCTCCGTAAAAAAAGTAAATACCTCAAAACAACAGCAAAAAAGAAAAAGAAAATCCGTGCGTCTTTTTGATGCATAGGTGAGAAGTTAGGAGCCTGGGCTCCTCTGGGGACAGAAAATGAAGTGACAGGAGCTGGGAAATGGGCCTGTGGGAAGGAAAGAAGGGACACAGCTGAAAGAGCTGAGGGCTGGCTGGTCTCTTCATGACCTGGCTGGATGCCATTTTTGGCTGATAAAGACTAAGTTGTCCTTCCCAATTATCTACACTCCAGCTATATCAGAATAAAATAGTCATGAAACTGACAAATTATTTCCAAATAATTAAAGGCCAAATATAACTTCTCATTCACAGGAATAAACATATATTTCATACCATATTAGGCCAATATACTCTTTGAGACTGGAAAGAATGAGTCAATGATCTTGTAAATACAAAACCTGGGCACAACCGTGTTATCTGTTTGCCAATTTTACACATCCATATTTTGTAATTAAGTCCGTAAGTCCTTTTCTTCGTGTGAATCTAGTTGCTCTTTCAAGCTCAAAGCAAATCTTGTTTTAAAAACAGGTCAGTGCTTTCAGTTTGTATTGATGTTCAGATAACTGCTTGTTTCAGACATAACTTTTAAGTAATCAATAATAAAACATGTGATATTAAGTAGATATTCAAATATTGATGCAATAACAAAATGCTATCTCTTCACAGATTTTATCAACTCGCTCATCACAGATGCTTCAAGACAATGGATTTCACTAGACTGTTTTCTGAGGCTGCAAGCAACTTAGAATTTCCTGTGGGGGATTACGAAACACGGAGATTCCTGGGGTCCACTGGTAGAGATTCTGTTTTCAGAGAGCTAAGTGGAGTCCAGAAATCTGTATTTGTTTACATGACTTCCCAGGTGTTATCTAGGCCTGCCAGGCTTAGAAAACAGCCAGTCCAGAATCCCTTCATCCACATTCCTAACAAACTTACTCAGAAGTGTTTTGAGCTCTTCCAGAGGAAGCAACCTCCCCATAGTTTGTTAGTTAGCCTTCATGGGGAAGGTCTGATGGTCTGAAAGCTTTTGTTTACGTTAAACTGAAATGGGCCTGGCAGTGACTTCCTTGCATGGTTTCAGTTCTACCCTCTAGTATAACAAGTGTTATTATATATGAAAGCCCTTCATGCATTTTAATATGCTTTCAGGTCCCCACAAGTTTTTCTTCTACAGCCAAACAGCCAGTTTCAACAACTGCTCACAGATCCTTTACCATTGAAGGTATCCGTGCACCTACCACAGCGACTATAGCCTCTGTTCAGATCCCTTCCTCCCACCACTGTTGTGACTAGTGTCCCTAAACCAGCCTATGAGCCACTGGACCCTGCAGAGGAATAGAGCGGCATGTTGCCAGAGACCATATGGAGCTGTACGTACCATTTGCTATTGATTCTCAAATACTGGCAAGTGTAATAATGTCACTATGTGAAGAAATTGTCACCAATCCAGGATGACATGAGAAAAATAAGTTCATTTGATCTAAAAAAAAAAAACTGTACTTTTCTTTCTATACTATATCCTGTCCAGGTCCTATTTAAATTTAATTTCATTTTTAAATAAAACTATAAGGATAACAGGTGGTGTGCTTGGCTATCAGTTTGTTATACTAGGAAGTTAGCCATTGTATGTTGATGAGCCCTATTTCTTTAAGATGTACTGGTCCATAAAGACCAAAATCTTGGAACTCCTGCCCTGACCTTGCCTCCCTCACTGATACACCAGTGTTCTCTAATCTAACTCTTAACTCTCAGGACCCACCACAAGATACAGTGGCTCACAAATAACTAGAATCATCAGAGCATGAGAATCAACTGAGTTTCATAAAAAACACAAATTCCCAGGTCCCACCACCAGAAATCATGGTTCAGTAGGTCTGAGGTGAGGTTCAGTATCTGTATATTTTTAAAGCTTCTCAAATGATCCCGAGATCATTCAGGATTAGAAAACACTTCCATAATGTGCATTTATTTGGTATTTCTCGTCTATGTATTTTTAACAAGTATCACCAGCGAGCGGGGGTGATTAGGACAGCAGCCATCTGGTCAAGTGTCTTAAAGCAGTCAGGCAGATTCTGGTATACAAACACTATCCTCTCCCTCCCTTAGGATTTGGTGTTATTACCTTTTCCTCCCCTTTCAGCCTACTCAACTCCATCTAATAAACGGACCCCAGACTCTTGGGCTTTATCAATATTCCTGTTAAAGTATAGTACCCAAACTAATACATAATAATATTCATTAATATGGACACCAAAAATCTATTAATATAGCTTCAAAGCACCTCCACTTTTATGGAGGCACCAGCACATGAACTTACTGAGGTTTGGATCGATCCTTACTATCTGGTTTCACCTAAATTCCACCAAGCAGGTCTCCTTTACCTAATACATCTGGTGTTTAAAAATACAACTTCGAGCTACCATTTATTCAACTTATACAACTTTAAGTTATAACTTGTATCATGCTTGTTACATTATCTTTTTAACAGATTACATAATTTTTAATTTCAAAATATTGAGTATCTTTTCCAGAGAGTATCTTATGTAACAGGTCCTATATTATATGAACTTGAAAAGTATACCTTCTTTTTCAATGCAGAGGGGAAAGAAAATGAAGACTGGGATAGAAGACACTTTAGTTCCAGCCTTGACTGCCTCCAACTAGCTGTATGGCACTACCATTCCAATATTAATTTTTATCTGTAAAATATCAGCTAAAACTTTGGGCTCTTAGAGCTCTAAAATATATGATCTTAGAATATGCCTATGATATGAAAGAACCTCCATTTTTATATCCTTCAAAGTACTCATGCTCCCTCCATTTATCTATTAAACTTGTAATATCAACTCATTAAAAATAAATAAATAATGAAATAAAAAGGAAAGAAATATAAATACTATGTGGCTATTCAGGTAATTGGTAATATATTTTTAACAGTGAGGGCAGAAAACATGGTGTTTCTAAAAGATTCTGCTTGGAAGTGACTAATGTCACTTCAATTCCATTGGCTACAGCCAGACATACAGTCAAGTCTTACACACTGCAGTGCGACAAAGAAAGTATAATCTTCCTGCACGAAAGGACACCATTGAAAGGTGCCTACAGAAAAAAACGAGCAAATATTCTAAATACATAATATAGCCTATCACATCCCTCATTTTGAAAACTGAGGCTACATGTACCTTTCTCCATTCTTTTAAATTATTCTAGTTTTCCAAAATTTCTAAAATATGATAGTGCTATAATATCATTGAGTTTGTTTATTACCTAATATGTAATTTGTCGGGGTCTGAGGATTTGAATTTATCTAAAATAGGTAAGTCATTGTTAAACTTCTCTTATTGGGGATGTCAATGACCTCTTAATGCAATGATCCCTGGATGTTGCCAGCCTAGAGATTGTTCTTCTCAGTATAGACCGAAGAAAAGCGGAAGTGCAGTGTTTTCTTTTAACATGATACTATCATTCTCAGGCAATAGACCTATAATTTTCATCTATCTATTTTCCTGAAAATAGCCCTAAAAATTGCTGCTGCTCTTTCCAGTGGTTTTTGCGAACCTCAGCTAATCCTTGGCTTTAACGCTCTTGAAATTCCTGTCCCACTCCCTTGTATTCTCCTTAGTTATATGTTATGCCTTCCACCATTCACACAGCTGTCTTTCAGCCTCATCAGACAACTTTACTGCAAATGTGGCCAGGTGCTCTAGCCGCTCCCCCTTTTCTTCCCACTGAGAGCATTTTTAATTGTGTACTCAGAATTCAGTCCTCCGTACTACCACAAAATTATATCTGCTGTTTGAGTCTTTCCTTGACAAAGTCATTATTTTTTAAAGAAAATATTTCATCAGATATTATTTGATAATTCACCTTTACTATATTCTCATGGCTTTTTTTTTTTTAATAGTGTGGAGACAATATCACATAAAGGTTAACTGCTCAGTCTCTGGAGACAAACTTGAATGTTGGTATTTTTACTCATTAACTGCATCACATTGGGCAAGTTACTTAATCTTTCTGTGCTTCAGTTTCTTCATCTGTAAAATGGGGGCAATTACAGCATTTTCCTTATACTGTTATTATAAGAACTGAATGAGTTAATATACAAGCATATAAATACTTGGAACACCCAGCTGGTGTAGCTCAGTGGATTGAGTACAGGCCTGTGAAGCAAAGGGTCACTGGTTTGATTTGGGGCACATGCCTGGGTCGCAGGCCAGGTCCCCAGTAGGGGACACATGAGAGGCAACCACACATTGATGTTTCTTTCCCACTCTTTCTCCTTCCCTTCCCCTCTCTCTAAAAATGAATAATTAAAATATTTTTAAAAAATAAATAAATACTTGGAACAGTGCCTGGTACACAAACAACCCTATGTGCCTGTTGTTTTGGGGTCATACAGTTCAAGTGCCTCAGGTATGACAGTTTTTCTGCTTCTACTGAGATACAGAAGTTATAATTTCTCACAATCTTATATATGACTTTCCTCTTTAGAATAATGCCCTTCAGAGCTAACTAAAGCATTCATCAAACTGGGAACTTCCACCCACAGCAAGAATGTGGGAAAAGAGTACTATTTCAAGATAGTGGGCTCACAACTCAGGTGGTCCCACCTTCTTCCTGAGACAAGGAAAAAGACTATAAAGAAATTCCAAAAGGAATGAAGCCTTGACAGGAAAGAAAATAA